TCTCACTCCTGGAAAACCTCAAGCTTCTACCAAGTCATTTCTTCTAAACTGCAGCTTAAAACCTTACTGTCACCGGGTAAAATATGAAGCTATTTACTCAAATAGTGCAGTGTCTTGTACCTTTATATTCTTCCATATAATCAATTTTATTTTATATATCTTCTGTTTATCTTCTATTTTAAATCCTGCATTGTTTTATACCACCTGTGTGTCCTTATATCTTTTTTTTTAATGTCCCTTGAAAAGCACTTGAAATAAGCAACATGATCTTGGTTTTATATGTTGAGTAATCATTAGAGAAGACCACAGTGAAATGGTTTTCATTCACATTTTAGCAGCAGTGTGCTTTATATCTGATCACCTCCCAGTAATTTAGATTTAGCCATTCAAGACTAAAATTCAAAGGATACTTTTGGCAACACCTGGGTTGTGGGTGTATCCAAATGCTCCAAAAAGCTCTTATGTCGTCATATCTTCTGGTAATTATGAACAGACAAATTGTGCATTGTTTGTGTATTGACAAAGAGGTGGGAAAATTACTTCTAGAAAATGTGTATGAAAGAAAGATTATTGATATTATGTCCTTAGAAAAACAAATAAAAAACGAAACCATAATAAACATGTCAGTGTCAGACATCAGAATATTACAAAGTTCAAAATGTTGTTCTACAATGAAATCTTGTGTTTTTACAGGTGTTCTGGGCCACAGAAAATTTCAAACAACGATTCAGAAAATCTCTTTACTGTAAAAATAATCAGCACTTGTCCGAAATTTTCTGGAGTGCAGATTAATAGCTAATGCACTGTTAATGTTATTTCAGTATTTCACACCCACTTCTTTTAAGTGCCCTTGCTGGATATAATTGAGCCACATTTAGCTAAGTAGAGGGAAATTAAATTTACTGTTAAACAATGACTGTGGTTAAAATACAACTATGATTAATGGAGTATGCATTCAGTATGGAAAGCCAAACTGTACGCTTTTGTTAAACCTGCCAAAAATAAAGCATCCATAATATTCTGACCTGCCTCTGATAATATTTTTCAGCTTTAGCAATAAAAAAAAATTACAATGCGTATTAACAGTTGCCTGCACATAATATAATAAATGTATTACAGAGGTTATAGTGCATGCTGTCATCATATGGGAAACTGGCTATTGCCATAAACAAAGCATACGCATAAAAATCAATTTGGCTGCAGAAGAAAGTCAAATGTGTTTGAGTAACACAATAATGGGTGGCAGGCCTGTGTGTTTGTGTTATTATTGCGAGACCTATGGACAGAAGTCTCCCACAGAGAAATACAAGCCTCGTTTGACTGAGCAGATTATTGAAGAAAAAAGTTTTACCATTTGATCTTTACAGACACAGCTCTCCCCACCTGCACTCCCCTATTCTGTAGTTCATGTGGCATCAGAAAGGAACAACAAGGAGCACACACACCTGCATTCACAACAAATAGCATTTTGATACCACAAAGCATTTGCCAGACTATATTGTCCATGAAATGTCCAAGATGATTTCCAGGACAAGAGACTGCGATTCACTTTCTTTTTTTTAAACCACTAAGTTCAACCTACAGAAAAAGAAAGTTTTCAAAGAACTCGATGAACTCCTGTTCATTGTTACTGCTTTCATTGGAATTAGGAGTGCAAGCAGCAGCCAGTTGCTGCTAATCAAATGCACCTGATTAAGTGTGAACACCTCTGTAAAGCAAACGTTTTGGCAGTTTGTTGGTCTAGAGCGTTCAGCTGTGTTAACACAGTGCTATGATTTTCTTGGGAGTGGATACCAAAAACAAAGTCCAAGAGACTCTAAAGGCCTCAGTTAGCATGTTAAATGTTAAAAAAAAAATTCAAAGGTCAAAAAAAGACATGCTCTCAAGCATGGTGGTGGAAAAGCCCATTTATCCATCAGATGTCTGAAATTTTGTTGTGCAACAGCAACAATGATCCAAGCACAGCAACAGTAAATCTACAATGACTGAAAAAGAAAAGAATTAAGGTTATGCAATAGACCAGTCAACGTCCAGACCCCAAACCCACTGAAATGCTTTGTTAGTTCTGCATAAAAACATGTAGCTGTTAACCTCAATCAACCTAAAGCAATGTCGTAAAGAAGAATCGGCCAAAATGTCTCCACAACAATTGATATTGTACCTCCCCACCCTTCTATTCATGTACAGGCAAGGAATACGGCAGGGGAGCAGCAGCGAGAGCCAGCACAGACAGTAGCAATGACAGGGTCATGCAGAGAATAAAAAGGAGGAGCATACATGGAGGTGCACTTCAGACTGGCTTGTAGATGCACAACAACTGTGGGTTGATTAAGCAGCTTAAATAGTGCACCCTATATGAGACTTGGCCGAATATTCAACAAAGGGTATCAGCAAAACCATCAGCTGATCTGCTGGGAATCACTGACTTAGTGGCCTGTCTGAACTAATTGCATCTTAATTAAAACCTCTAACGCGTGCAAAACAATGGCCGAGTGAGTTTAAAAAAAAACAAAACACATAAACAACAATAATGAACAATGCAAATCAGAAATGTGGTAAATCTGCTTCCGTAATGAACAGCTGCTTGTTTTTAATTTATATTGAGTGTGTGAGCCATTCATGCTTTTTCCCCACACCCTAATTTCTATAGAACTGGACCTCTGTTTAATTTTAAATTGCTGAGTCTTGGAGTCTTTCTGAGTCTTTCTCTGCACTTGTTTCGAGTGCTTGAACAAATGACACACTATTATAATTATACCAATGTTTACTAAGTGCCAGATGATTGCATTATTTCAGCAGAGCCATACAGTCACTGATGAAATTCAAACTGATATCCTTCCACCAATTAGTATGGTAAATATGATGTTAAACTTAGTACAACTTTGCAATGCGTCTTTGAGGTGAAGGTCATGAATGACCTATGATTTGACTTAATTTGATTTTATAAAAAACATGTAAACTGGAACAAATAAATATGCTAATTGGACACTTATTGCACATTACCTTTAGGGACTTTCTAGGTAGAAAGATGTTGCGGCATTTAGTTATTAGCATTATGCCTTTTTGACTGCTATCAGTCAGCTTGTTTAGCCTACTGGCTACTAAATACTCCAACCTGCTAAGATCATTCACTCATTCGATCTGAGACACATAACACATTTTAGCATGTGGTGGAAAAAGCTGCTCTTAAGGGCAGAAAGAATTGTTTCCAGGGATCTCTATTTTTATCCTGCCTTCCAGCTTGGGGTGCAGGATCCTTTGTGTAATCCATGCTTACATGTGTATTTTACACACAGACAATGTGAAAAATACAACACATTGCTATGGATTAGTACTGAAAGTGCTAATTGCACTAACAAATTTAGATGAAAAAATAACACCAACTAAATAGGCATAAGCATGTCTGTTAACAAAAAACCCCAACGCTTTAGCCAACTGGGGTTTTTCAACTACCTCAGGGACAAAGCTTTACCAAAATCTTCCAACTCAGACCCTGTGACAAGTGGAAAATTTGGAGTTTCTTAAAATATAATATTTAGTCTATTCCATCTCTAAACTGTTTTATTTACACTTACTCTACACTCCTCCTATCATGAAAACCACGTTTTTATGCCTGACTACACTCCCACCAGATGAGCTCATGCAGCCTGTCACGAACCGGGACATACAACCATGACAAAACAGGAGATGCACACACAAATGCCAATTAAAAAGACTATTTATTTTAAATTAAAGAAACAAGAGAAAAACCTAAACTAACCATGTGTACAGTCAATGGCTGTGGCTTAAGTGAGTGCATGCTTGAAGAGACTGTGTACACAATGCTGTTTAGTGCAAAAACCCAAACTATAATCCAGAATGTTTCTCAGGGAGGAGAGCCACTACACAGTTGGGTTCTGAGGGCCTTTATAGTGCACTGATGAGCCCAGGTATTGCCAGTGCCACTGATGGAAATGAGCCACAGCAGCTCTCCAGCACCTACAAATGAGACCTGCCCACACCAACAAGCAAGAAGGGTGACCAGGTGGCGAGCATCGCCACACTTTCCAATCCAATAAACTACCATTGCAGTTAGTAGTAAGTGGTTGATTAGTGCGGCAACAACAAAAACACACTGAATGTCTTTTTAAAATACACAAAATGTCTTATTTTACATTCTATCGAAGTTCCTGCTGGAAAGTGCTGTACTGTACAAGATGCTTCCCTCACCGCAAACTCAGGTTTACTGCTGGATAAATTTTATTTCCACATTAGTTAACTCAACAACCAAGACAGAGCACTGATAGGTTTCCTCATCTCTCCACCCAAGTGTTTTAGAGACAATATGTGCACTGGTCTAATGATGTTTATGACTCCCAGAGTAGACATACAATCTCATCATCATTTAAAACTTAATAGCCAATGCGTGTGTATTTTCATTAGTTGAACAATCAGATCTTGGTCTTTTGTAACCAGTCATGACAAAAAAGGGACGTCTTTTTTGCCATGTCTGGTCACAAAAGACCAAGATGGTGCTTTTATACCGTCTATACACAGTTGTTATCACCAGCTTTGGTTCCTATCCTCAGGGCTAGTTTAATCGCCAGGGTTCAGTTCACCAAGACTATTAACAAACCAGATCTCCACACTGAAGCACAAGCAGGCTTCAGTTCAGCTGACTGAGCCAACAGGCCCTTTCAGAAGCGACTGGAGTAGAAGGCAATAACAACCCACAACAGAAAACAAAGTGTCAAGTTCAAACTTACATGAAATACACTGCACTAAAGGTGTTAATTAGGTGTTAAAACATTTATACACAGTGTGTACTGTATATGCTTTGGAGTGTAACCAACATTTACCTTTACATAATTTTCATAACCCAGAAATAAAGTAAACAGAGCAGAGCACAGAGGTTCGGTATGTCTGTCTTCACTGATCCACAAAGTGCCCTTTAGTTATTTTCCTTGACTAAACTGTAAGAATGGAGGGTTTGGGGGGGGGGTATTGCTCTTCTTACTGACCTTTGTACGGAGCTGGAGAGAAGAAGCACTCTGAAGCAGAATTGGATAGATGGGCTACAACTTTCTCCAGAAGGTCAGCCAGCACTGAGGAGAAAAATCAGGCACATAAAAAATCATAAGATAGCAGGTCTGCATTAACTATTGCGTTCAAAGGAAATCCAATTTAAACAGTCAAATGTCAGCTTTCAACTATTTTTAGATTGTTGGTTCCATCCTGTTTTCTACGCTATTAAGCAGCTGTAAGTGGATTGGACAGATACTTTCCATGTAAGACGTACAGTGTGCTCAGCTGGCATAAAGTCATTAGCATTATAAATACTAATAAAAGATAATATATAATAGAAGTTTAAAAACAAACCTGCTTCACTTCTAGGATAAGGATGTCTCTGACAAAGTAAATTATAGCTCAGCGAAAAAATTACATGCACTGTAATACAACACAAAAAATGTACATCTTGTATCAACTGTGGATTCACTGGCCCCGACTGTCACTCAGTAAACTGTGTCAGCATGGCTTTTAGTGTCACTTAACACGTCTGCGCAAAGAACCACCCACAGTCACTGAAGATCTAATTGTGGAAATAAGAGAGGAAGAGCGTGGTGAGGTAGGAAGAAACAGTAAATAAAGACGATACAAAACCAACCTTCTACAGGCCAAAGAGTTTAACCTATTGTTTTAACTCATAGTAGGCCAAATGAATAGACTGGTTTGTTTTAGTCTGTTTTGTGGCCAAAGAACTCCTGTCTTTTCAATGCGCTTTGTGCTGGCACACCACAGCACACATCACAGTTCAGGCGTTTTCTGCCAAATGCTCAGCCTCAGATGCCTCAGGATGTTACAGTAGAAGTCTGCATTTACAGGCTGACCCAGAGGGACAAATGCATGGTGCACAACCTTGTGAAAGTCAAAGATTAGTATGCACCACATTGCTGATCTGATGTGCCAACTTTGACATTGTAAACTCCTGTTCGATCCAAAACTCACCACCAGTCATGACCCTTGCCATGAAGTCAAGTCAGTTTGAAAGCTGATGCTCTGCGTAGGTTTGCCATCCGAGGTGAACGTGCATGTGCAGAAATGCAAGCAGTCAAAGATTGGGCTAAAGCATTGGAAGTCATCCAGAGGTGCACAGGACCATAACCTTGTAGAGGATGTTGACCAAATTCGAATCAAATAGAGTTTTTACACCTCAGCCATAAAAGGCAGTTGGGCAGGTGGGCGGTGTGGACAAGCAAGTTTATGAATATGAGAACGTTCACAAACTTTTTATGTTAACAATAATGATAAAATTCAAATCTCAGTGATCTCAACCTCAAGGTCAAGGTCAGAGGTCAAGTTTTCTGAAAATCTTGTGAATGTGATAACTTGAGAACACAGTCACCTAGAATTTTTACATTCATACCATGGGTACATCTACTTAAAGTCTTGGACGAGTTCAAACTCCAGTCTCTTTGACCACAAGGTCAGAGTTCAAGTTTTCTGAAAATCTAATGAATGTGATAACTCGACAATGAGGCGATGTAGGATTTTCCATATTGATACCATAGGTTCAATTACTTAAAAGGAGGAGTTGAAATCTCAAAACCTCAAGGTCAGAGGTCAAGTGTTCTAAAAAAATTCTGTGAATAAGATGACTTGAAAACAAGTCGACATGTATACATGTATCTAATAGCAGCTGAGGGGTAGCACTAGCAGCTGCCACTATTTTTGTTTCTGGATTCAATGGATTTGGGAAAGTAGGTATTATAGCTTCCTTGAAATTCCTGGATGGATTCTAGTCCCTTGGGCTGTTGTCTGCTGCTGTGTGAAGTTTGTTTGATTGGATGGCTCATATTTCACACTAGCTACCTTTGATTAACATTTTTCCACCTACTGTCCATTCTTTTCCTGTTTGTGTCCTGGTATAAAATACTTTTTTTTACCTTTTTTGAAGCATGTTTTTGTTATACTACTAAATATGTGAACTAAGTGTAAGGTGTTTTGTAAACACAGTGGCACAGCCTTCCAATCATTTCACAAGCTGCCAATTCAGAGAAGACTAAAAGGGCTGATCAAACCTATTCACTCCACAGCTCAGTAACTCTGAGCACGAGTGAATGCATTTCATTGATATGCTGCTGAGGAAAACCAATTAGGGAGTTGATAAGCTGACAAGATAGTAAGGTATTGAACGTGAAACAGTTCTAATTGTAAGTGTTTCAACCAAGAGATAGCATAATCAATATCATCATCCAGCTGAATAGAAGCTTGTCAAAGACAAGTGATAATCACAGTGTCTTCATATTCAGAAATAGACGCAAGTAATTGTTGAATAAACTTCCCAGGAAATCAGTTTCCTTTAGTAGTCAGTTCATAAAAGATAAAACATTTCCTTCACTGAATGTTTCTCGAGAAGTGAAATACCAGGTTGTACGTGGTTAATGATGTGACACATGAAATAGCACTTCGACAGCAAAGACAAGCCTAAATGATAATAAATCTTGATCGTGGTCTTCCAGTGAAAAGCCTCAAATGAGCTGTGGAGTAGTTGCTTTTACAGGCTTCAACAGTGTACTGATGAAAGGAGGCAATCACTGTGCAGTACATGCATTAATGACAAGATTGTCAGCCCTCCTTCATTTGAATATATTTTTGTCTTCGTTGAATCACAGCTATTTGCTCCTACATAGGAAAAGTAGGCATAGGTGCAATTTCACAGTGGCTGTCAACGACATTGATGATGAGTCTTAAAAGGTTCATGGACATCAGGTTTATGTAATCTTGGTGAGGAAAAGTGTGAAGTGCACCTGAATTTCAATAAAAGCAATCAGGAGAAAAGGAGGCTAAATTTAAAAAAAAAAACCAACCTGAAAACCTTCAGATTGTGTCATCTGGATTTTTTGTTCTTTTCACTATTAATATATTTAGCATATATTACACCCATCAAGTCAATAAGAAAGATTATTTATTTGACCTTGTGCATCCAACACACAGAGGTGGTCTCCCTCCTGAATCTGGATCATCAATGTTTATGTAGTCATATTTTCATAGGACTGCAGTCCTGTGAAAAACTAAGTCCACCCCATGATTCACCAGCTTGTAAAAACACCTTTAGCAGCAATAACATGAAATAATTGTTTTCTGTGTGACTTTATCAGTCACATGGACATTATTGTGCAGGAACTTTGAGCCAGTGTTTCTTACAGCTTTGCTCCACTTCATTGAGGTTTACAGGCATTCTTTAATGTGCAGAGATCAATCCACAGCATTTCCATAAGGTTAAGATCTGGACTTTGACTTGGCCTGTGCAACACCTTGCTTCTTTTCTTTTTTGGCCACTCTGTTGTAGATTTGCTGCTGTGCTTGGGATGATTATCCAATTGCATGACTCAGTTTCAGCTGTTGAAGAAAGCGCCTAAGATTTGACTCCAGAATACTCTGATACACTGAGTTTATGGTCGTTTCAATGACTGCAAGTTTCCCAAGTCGTGTGGCAGCAAAATAAGCCTAAATCATTGCCCCTCCACCACCAGGTGGTATGATAAGTTTGTGCTGATATGCAACAAAACATCTCTACTCTGGTGTTAACTGTCCAAAGGACATTGTTACAGAAGCCTTGTGGTTTGCTCAAATATAACTCGCAACACTAAGTCGTACTGTCAAGGTCTTTTTAGAGGGAAGAGGCAACCGTTCTAAATAAGCCATACTTGTTCTTTTTCCAGTTGTACTGTCACGAACTTTAATATTCATGATCCTGCTACAGTAAATGAGGCCTGTAGGTTCTTAGATGTCCCTCTCACTCTTTTTTCTTTTTTCTGAGCATTTTGTAGTGATCCCTGTAGTGATCTCGTACGTGTCAGGAGCAGTGTTGGTCAAGTTACTTGAAAAAAGTAATCAGTAACTAATTACTGATTACTTCCCCAAAAAAGTAATCCCGTTACTTTACTGATTACTTATTTTCAAAAGTAATTAGTTACTTAGTTACTTTTTAAAAACACGATTTACAACCTGAAGAGGTGATAAAGCGATAGATCTTTCAGCCCAATTCTACTTTTTCTACATAATCCATCATACAAAATGTAATCAAATGGAAAAGTCTCTTTTTTTTAACTTAACTTGCTTTATCAGTTTTAATCTTTTAACTTTATGCATCAAGCAAAAATTTAATTATATGCAACATTCTCTGACTTGAATAAATTAGTTTAACATTTAAACCTATTTTCTGCACATTCCAGCACATAAAATAAAATATTTTTTGTGTTTACACTCACTCTTTCAAATAGATGCAAGTAAAACACAGCAGAAAATAAAAAAAGTCAAAGACTCAGAATTTCCCATTACGTCATGGCGCACTCAGTGCTTGCTTGGAAGTTTAGGGGTTTTTTTCGCTGTAAAAAGTTTTCTTCCCACGCACAACGGACGCTAATGTTTTTGTCACTTTTTATGGAATCAAACTCAAAGTAAGGTCAGTACTTCCACGCTTTAAACGCTGCATGCTCATACTCTCTCCGCACTCGATATATGATCACTGTCACTGTCATGAGACATTCTCGCAAAAAAATCACGGTTTTAGTAACGCAGTAACGCAGAATTCCTACGGGAAAGTAACGGTAATCTAATTACCAATTTTGCAATAGTAATCCCTTACTTTACTCGTTACTTGAAAAAAGTAATCAGATTACAGTAACGCGTTACTCCCCATCTCTGGTCAGGAGTATCGGAACAGTTGAGACGCATTTTTTCTAAACACCAGGTCTCTGTGGCTTTTAAACCCCAAAACACACTGCGCCAAAAATTGGTCCACCCCAAGGATTGGGTCCCCCGACACAAACAGAGTAACATAGTGCACGCTGTTAAGTGCCAGGAGGATTGCCAGGATTTATACATCGGGGAAACCAAACAACCTCTGGCGGAGCGGACGGCACAACACAGAAGAGCTACCTCGTCTCGCCAGGACTCTGCGGTCTATTTACACCTACAGGCCAGTGGACACTCTTTCAATGATGAGGATGTACACATCCTGGACAGGGAGGAACACTGGTTTGAACGCGGAGTCAAGGAGGCCATTTACGTGAAAAGGGAAAGACCATCTCTGAATCGAGGAGGGGGCCTAAAGGTACATCTTTCACCATCTTACAATGCTGTGATTGCAGCCATTCCCCAACTCTCTGTGAATGGTACTCATGACCATTGATCAATGGTTGTTGATCAATGGTCATGAGAATTTGCATAATTATAATGAAGGAACTGACCTCCCAGGCCTTTGTTCGTTCAGTGGGCTGGTTTCAGTCATTATGCAAATGTACTGTTTATAAGGTTGGGGAAACCTGCAGTCAGCTGAGACTGAAGAAGTCACTTGGATGAGTGACGAAACGTTTCTCCCACTGAAAACGCTACGTCCAGATGAACAGAATAAACTTTTGGAGATTTTCTGAGCATTGTTCAGACCACATTTCTAGAGTGGGTCTGACCTTGGGGTGAATTTGCTGGAACATAAACATGCTAACTAAATGCTTCAGACCAGTAAACTGCCCAAATTTCTGCTTTTAGTGAGGTGTTTAGACTTGTTGATGATCAGCTAATCAAGTGAAATCTGATTAACAGTGTCAGATTGCTGAAGAGTCCTGTAAAAAAGTCTTACACACCAGTAAGAAAAAACAAAGGATAAAAATGATTTTAAAGTAAATTAACACAGTTAAACTGTTTGTTCATACTTGTTTGCTTTTGCTTCGATTTACCATCATCCCTTTCCTTTGTTTCTTAATTTTTCATCCTCTCGCTACGATATCAATTGATATGCGAAGCTCACCGCCAATCCTTACAGCAGTTTCTCCAAACTGCCACCTCTGGCTTAGCTCAGTGCTTCATTATCAATCAACATTTTTCATTTGCATTGGGGGTTGAGCTCCTTGCTAGTGGATGTACATTTAACTCTTTTCCTTCTAAAGACATCATGTGACAAGACCTCTAATATCAATCCGAGGGAGATAGTTAAATAAAGGTGTTTTTTATTATATAGAGTCAAAGAATCCTTAAAAAAAAACGACTATAGAAGAATTCTTAAACACTAAAGATGCTGTCCTGTCCCTGCTCCAAAAATACTCTGATAATGAAGCTATAAACATGTACAAGCACAATCTACAGGGAAAAAGTCCCTTTAAACCTTATTTTGGGCAAAGTCACCAAACCTTTGAAGTATTTTTGTTATTAGATTTGACTCTTGATTCTATACATGGAGCTTTAGTCATGTCCCAGTGACCAGTGAAATTAGTTTTAGCTCTCCCATTTATATAGCTACTGAATTCAGAATAACTGCATCACACAGATGCAGAACAGTGGAAAGAGGATAACACTTTTATTTTATTTAAATAATTCCTTAGATCAGGATGGTGGTCTCTTGGTGGTGTTACTAATTACTTGTGTTATTTACAGTCACTTAATCACTCTGTCAGTCAAGCAAATATGTTACTATAAAACAGCAAACACCAAATCTAGTCACTTCTTTAGTCTTAGTTGAATTCGATTTATCTATGAAGCCTTTCAGGAGGCTTAAAATGTTCTTGCCCAAACTATCCTTGGCATTAACGAAACATAAATATTTGTGACAACATGGCTTATGTGAAAGCCAATAGAGCTTATTTGAATGTGATTAGAAGATGTAAGTGCTCACCTTTCAAGATGCATACATAAACTTTACTCCTACCATCAATCCATGCCATTAAGTAATCAACTAACTGCAGCACCGCTGGGTCCATAACTTCCTCTCCAGCAGAGCACAAGCAGTTAAAGTTGACAATTCACTGTCACCCACCATTATTCTCACTCCCACAGGGCTATGTACTCCATTTCTCACTACAAACGATAAATTACAACTACTCTTGGCTTAAAACACGGGGAAAACACGCGCATTCTTGCACTCGTCAGTAACAGCAGAGAAAGGGGAGAAAGTCTTTCTCCCCTAGTATTCTGTGTCTTACTTTCTCCATCTTAACATCTCAAATACTGAAATCGTAGACATACCAGTGACACTTAGAAGCATTGTCTGCTAACAGAGACACACAGTTACCTGCTTCTCCAACCTTCTTCTTCGGTACCGAAGCATTGCTGAGCAGTTTTTTTCTGCTTTTGTCTATTTTTTACATCCTTACAGTTGAACCACTGAGAACAAACTTAAAGTTAACTTTTTCAGCCAGTAAGCTCATTGGTATTCCCATCTACAATTTAAATGTGTCCCCTCATCCCTGATCCACAAAACACTCACAATCAAACCATCCACTCCACCAGCATTTCACACTCTTTTCTTCCTTGTGTACTCTGGTGCTCTCAAACAAAAAGAGAAATCCTCCATGGGGTGCACAGTGTTAATATATGCCTTTGTCTTACTGTTTGACTCCTTTAATTTAAACCCTGCATTTTTCATCTTTTTGGTCAAATAATATTCCTTAAGGAGAAACTAAGAAACAACAACAGTCATTTGTTTTAAAAAGATTCTTTAAATTGCAAATCTGATGTGGCAGCCAAATTTACACAGAAATTATACTGAGATCTGTCATCATTCTCCACATTCCTGGAGGCAAAGAAAAATAGCTAAAGCAAATGGTGCAGATACACTGAAGGTGAATTAAGCTGTAGGTACAAAATAGTTCAAAAAAGACATTAATTCGACGAGCTTCTTCACAGGTATTTCTGAAATCGGTAGCTGTTACATGTTCTAATTGGTGTGACTCTTACCACTAGCCATTTCTTTCTAAAATCCACAAGTTAGTCTCCTTTCTGGTACTGTTGTTTGAATGAAATAGCGTGAAATACATTATCACCAATCCTCAAGAAGTAATGCTCAGTCATACCCAGCACAGTTTGTGAAGTACTCTTCATGACCCTTCAGTTAGCTTTTCTATACTTTTTAAAAATAAAAAATTCTCTCACACTTTAAGAGAAACATTTTTAGCGTAAAAAGATAATTTGCACTTTTTTCAACTGCTGCAAGAGCATCTCTTCTACAATCAACACAGGGGGCAATGTAGTGTATTAGAAATGTGATGCGTTTAACTAGATGTGGGAGAAACAGAAACCCAGAGAGCCAGCAGCTTACCCTTTCCAGTTAACACGTTGGGTTTTGACGCCATGACTTTACAGTACAACGTTCGGCAGGCTTCCACCCAGCTTCCGTCATTCTTTGGATCTTTCCATGAAGACAGAAACGCACTGATCTCGGAGTCTGAAGACAGACAAAGGACTAGAGGTGAAAAAAAAAATCACAATAACACTAAGATATTATTAGTGAGTTCATCAATGTTCCTCCTACCCGGTGAGGTATGTAGGATGTCTGGTGGATCCAAAGTGTAGCAGCGAGGTACGGGATAGCATGAAAACCAGGGCCAGGGGTAAGGATGTTCTCCTTCTCCCTAGAGCAAGCAGATTAAAAAAAAAAACCTGATGCCCACTTATGCCCACACAATGTTTAATACGTTACGCTTAAATCCACACGGTTACAATGTCATGATAACAAAAACATATTAAGATGTGGTGATTAGCACTGCAAGTCCTTTTCAGACTTGCATGAGTCACGTTATTTCCATTTATTCTCTTTGTCTTACTCTGACTATTTTATGGCTGTTTTTCTGAATTTTTGACACATTATTATGCAGGGCTGCTAGCATTTGTTTGTAATTCAATGGAATATACTTTATCTTTCTGATGATAATGTATGGTGACAGTATTTCTGAAACACGGAAAATTATGAATAGCGTAGTGCAGTTAAACAGTGTTGATGAATTCATTACTGAGCAATTGTTTTGCTCTGAGCTGGTAGCATTTCATAAAATGGTTGTTTATATTTATGTGCCATCACTTATTTCGCCCCCTCTTTGTTTTTTCCCCCCTCTTTTCCTCCTTCATTTATTTCTTTATTTGTATAACCCACTGCCATTTAGTGCCGCATTCATTATTTTTCTCATTACTTATTTCTGAAGAACCATAACTTTTGGGTCATAACTCAGCATGTGACTTGCCAAAATAATATGCTCTAAATGTTAATGAAGTTTAGAAAGCAGGCCTCTTTATCCAATTGTCTGTGCCCTACACTCATGATAATCCCTGTTGGTATTTGAGTCTACCACTCAATGATGTGCTTGTCTGACGATGTTGGAAAAATTTGGAATGGCACACAATCTGTATGCAGCTTGAGAACTTGTAATGAATATGTGAGCAGCATGATATTGTTACACTATTGGCAGGCTAGTCAATTACAGAGACAGACAACTATTCAGGATCACAGTTGCCGCTACAGCCAAACCTGAAGTGCTAAATGACATTTTTTGTTTGTTTGTTTGTTTGTTTGTTTGTTTGTTTGTTTGTTTGTTTGTTTGTTTGTTTGTTTGTTTTGGGGGGGGATATGACAGGAAACAGGAGCACTTGAAGGCATAGAGACAAACCCCACATGACCTTGCTGTTACTGTAGGTAACAAAGCGAGCCTTTAAATTTCTGTGTCCTTACATTATTAGGAAGCTGATGGAGAGGTAAGTTTTCAATCCTGTTTGCTGGCCAGCAAGGTTACACAAAAACTACCAAGCTGGGTTTAATTAAATTCATGGACATTCAATTTGAGTGCACCTCTAGTCACTTTCTTAAAAAGTATAAGACAGGGTTCCTCAGAGTGTCTGTCATGGTTCGGCTCATGAGCCATGATAAGTAATGGGAGAGGCACATTAAAAACTGCACAATTTATCAACCAAAAATAAACAATCACAGTTAACTTTATAAGTTTTATCAGTGTGTCAACAGATGGATGAGTGTTTGGATGGTAGGTGTGTGGTGTTGTGAGTGTATAACCTAAAATAATCAGACTAAAGCCAACCAAAAAGATAGCACGGTGCTGGGTGGATGGACAGAGAGCAAAAGCCAGCTTTTAAATGCCCCAAGGAGACTGACCGGGTGCTCCCAGTTGTGCTAATTAACTCAAACTAAAGGAACAAGCAAAACAATACAGATGGACACACACAGCAGGCAGGGCAGAGGGCTGTCACAATACAACTGTATTTTTCGTTTGTTCGTTATTGCTTTTTTGGGATTTTTGGGGAATTTGACTCACAGCATTAAACAGTTTCTTTAAAATCCTAAATTACATTGCATTTTAATGAATGTAACGTTATGCTATGTAATACGATACTAGATACAAAAGAAAATAGTTGATGTTTGATGTTGCAGATCTCTGCATGTGTGCACAGCTGAGTAAAGTTGCAGAGAGGCTTTTGTGCTCAGTGTTTTGCTTTTATACTGATGTCTGACTGTAAACCTCTCTGCTCATTTTATAAAGTAACTTTGCTGCCAGTATGTTTTTAGGCCTGATCCCAACATAACACGTCTAGCTCTGCTGTTACATTAAAGAAGCAGAACACAAAATATATACGGCTCAGCTCTAAACATTTGGAGTAGACTTGTACCACTTACAGTGAATCACTTAATTTCATGCCTCTAAAAAACTTGTTTTATTCGTTTTGAAGACTTCACACAAATTAAGAACTTATTTAACAGCTTTCTATTTCTTATATTCTCTACAAGTAACAGGGGAAGGGCATAAGAGAGACCTGTGAAACACGACGGAAACAATTTACACCTTCCCCCTCTTCCAAATTATATTTCATATCCTCTCCTTGACCTCAGCATAAATTAGTTCCTGTTTTCAGTTCTGCATAAACAACACCTAAATAATTTATTTCTATCCCAAAATATGCTGAGTAAATAAGCAAATAAACCTGCAGGCTTCAAACAACTGAAGCTCTGATGGTAATCAGTAGGACACTTCATCTGTAATAAACTGTGAGTAGCAGAAGTGCAGAACAGAAGTGGAGGGATGGGTTTTTGCACGGATTGTGACCAGGGGGAATACTGAGTTTGAGGAATGGTGAAGGGAAAAATAAAAACAAGTCAAGTCTCAGCTTATGTTGTCCCTTTGTTATTATTCGTATGGTTTTTTATACTCAAAGCTGCCGGGCCATTTAGTGTTACTGTGCCTGCTCTCCCTGGGTCCTGTCTCTGTTTTTCCCCTGTCTGATCTGCTGTGTACCTAAACCTTTGTTGCCCACTAAAGTGTGCCTTTTTTGAACTGTAACCTCCTAGCTGCAGGTTGTGTATTTGAGTCCTGCGGTGTCCTTGTTTACTGGCTGTGAAACAAAAAAAAGGACAAGATGATCCTATGAAACAATAAAAAAACAACAGCAGTGTTACTGGCCCAGTAGGTCCTCTCTTTCCCTGAATCCACTGTAACTTTTTTTCCTGTTGACTTCACTCTGCAATCAGAAGCTGACTACAAAAAACTGGTGAGAAGGGTTAGCCAGGGCCAGTGGGCCAGTTTTGTACAAAACAAAAAACAAAACAAAAAACCAATTTTAAGTGGCAGCAACAGTCAAATCAGCATGTAGAAAGGTATGACTAATTCCATGCAATTCAAAGGAAAGCTCACCTCTTGCAAGTCTCGAGGAGGGAGCCTCCTCTCAGATGGTCCTCCAACGACACTAACACGAACCAGCACATGGTTCCTCTCCACTGACAGACTGTCTATGATGATAGTCCTGAGAAGAACAGAGAAGACTGGAGGTTATTTTACTGACATTTATTAAATCAAGTTAAGTTTCCGGACGTTTAGCAAACCCTCTTTAAAGGGAGGTTAAAGAAGAGCTCAGCAATGAGCATGGAAATCAGCCTTGATGTCATGCATCTTCAGTAGTTTGTATATCATAGGTATTTCTAGTTATGACTTAAAGAGAAAACATAAATATAAAAGGAACTTTTGGCCAATTATGCCCACATGGCATGTGCAATTACTGCCAATAACATTCAAAGGCAAGATTGCCCTTCAAATGAAAATGGAACCACACTGGAAGTCACTCTATGTGTTTTTAAGTCCTGTGAAGTACTTTACACAGAGTTTGAAGCCTCTCAATAACTTAAACTGTACACTGCTGTGAGGCAAGTTAGAAAAGATAGCAGGGTTTTCAAGTTACAAATTCCGATTAGATCAGAGAATATTCCAATTATAAAGGCACTTCAGGATCGAAGGGTGTCAGCCATGCTGGATAGTTCTAACAGCTGCAGCAATTTGGACTTGAAATGAGTAATAAAAAGGACTGTTCTCTTATATGGTGCTCTTTTTGGGTGCCTGCTTGGCACAAAAGGGAATTTGCATACATTTTTAAGCACGAGAAAAAAAAAAATATATACACCCTCGTGGCTAAAAGAAGTGTAGTAAAAGAAAATGATTGATAAATCCTGGTGTTATTCATACTGAAAAGGTCAGAAGCAAAATATGAATAAAGAGACGGGCAAAAGAGCTACAACAGAAAAAGTCAGTCATGAAATGCCAAAAATGTGTTACGTTTAGATGACACTGAATGGAGAAGAAGGAAAGGGATGAGAATGAGATAGAAAAGAAATAGTACGCTCATAATAACAATGAGAAAAAGAGAGGAAAAGAGATCAGGAGATGGAAGGATGAATTAACGACTCATCACTCTCAAAAATTGAGCTAGCACTCAGACATGCCATGCGAGCTGGCATTTCAGGGCCATTCCCATTCAAACCAACAGCAATGACTCTGCCAGAAATGAACAACAGAAAAGGGCTCTTGAATATAAACTCTCGGAAAGGGCCTTTTCCCTTTCTTTCTGCTTTATTTTATTTTATTTGTCACAAGGCAAACAAACAATTTCTCATCCTGAGCACTGATTAATTTCAAAAGTGTTCTGTCATATCGAAGTGATTCACAGAGAAACAAAAAACCTTCAAATATGAGAGTGACTGTGACAGCCGAGTGGGCATAGAGAGATTATGAAACAACTTCCGCTATTAGCGCTTTTTGTTGTTGGAGTTCTTCAGATTTCAAGTAAACATGCTTTTCCTGAAATTATTGTACATCGTATGTTTGAATTTTACAGTAAGCTCATAGACTGTAGATAAATGATGGCTACTATAACCACTGTGACACCACTCAGTGATTTGTAAAGTCCTGTTTTGGAGCCCTGACTGACTGTTTTATCATCTATTTCACTCAATTCTGGGCTCATAAAACATGGCTTTCAAGTAGCGACTGAGAATGTAAGCTCATTGGGAAAATGTCTGCTAAGGTCATATTAAAGCAACAATGCAATTTTCTTGTAGATTTATTTGGTTTTGAATGGCACAGCAGTCACCCTCTGCTTGCCATAAGAAAGAATTTAGGTTAGGGCAATTTTTTAATTCCAGAGGTGACGTCTCCCAAGTCCTGGGGTGCCAGTAAGCATTGCTTTGTCCACTGGGATGTCATTTATGAACACAGTTTCCTTTTTCACCTGTACCCTGCCCATTAGTGATTAGGTGCATGCTCTAATCCTAAATCACAACTTCTTTCTTAACCTAAACAAACAGTCTAAACCTTACCAAGTTGTGTTTAACGCATGAATGTAACCAGTGAATGCATACAAAAGTAAACACAAAGAGTCAAATGAGATGTAAAGCCACCTTTCCAGCATCACAACGTAGACATTTTAGATCTCTAAAGCAGGACCATTATTTCTCAGGACCTAGTAAATGTGTGTCACCAACACTGAAAGATGTCCCTCCCTTTTGTGTGCCTTCCTCCTGTTTTCTATATATTCATCTTGTTTGTATATACTCATCCTACTATGTATATTTCTTTTCCATGCACAGTTGGGGTAGAGCGCCCAGAATTTCATTGTACATATACAATGACAATAAAAGGCTATTCTATTCTATTGTATTCTATTCTATGTAACAAGGAGATGTGGGTGGTAACTGAAAAAAAATCACATTATATTACACCTCTGAATGAGAAAGTTTTCGTACTTTAAAAGGCGAGCTAGCCTCATTAACTCACTAGAAGCTAACTCAAATGTTGGTTTTAGTTTTTTAAATACTGAATTGTTTATACTTTTGACTCAGATTTCAAGCGCAGAAAAAAATAAACAACAACATAGTATATGAACTGCAATAAGTAATAATATTAGTAATTAACTATTAATATATTCTATCATTACTAACTTAAATACAAACTAGTACTTCAGTTTAACAAAAGCTAAACAAACACCTGTTAAAAAGACTGAAGAGAATTATCAACAATTATGAACAATAAAAAAATGAAACAGTTAGGTCCATAAATATTGAGACAATGACACAATCCTTATAATGTTCTACACCACCACGGTGTCTTGTAAGTCAAACAATCAAGATGTGATTTAAGTACAGACTTAGTTTGGAGTTGACAGTTTAGAAATTTTAGGCATTTTTTAACACTGTCCCAAATTTTGCCCACAAATTCAGCACCACCTTAAGTGGTTGCTGGTTTGTGGGTCTTTCTGCTTTGAGTTTTGTATTTAATAACTGAAAAGCATGCTTGGATTGACAAGGGGTGACTAAACTGACCATTGAAGGGCATCCAATTTTTATGCCTTCTTTTTTGGTGTTTTTTTTTTACAGTGTGCTCTGGATCATTATCTATTTGTATTGTGAAATTCCTTAATTTTAACAATATGTATATTTTTCCAATTCTAAAGTTCTTACTCGCTCTGTCTCTGTTAGATTCATTTTGGATTTCTAGCCCAATGGTGAATCAGTGATGTGAATCAACACATCACGGGACCTCATACTGACTTGAGTGATTGATTCAAGTCAACAGCTACCTGACTAAAGAGCCTTTATTTTGCTTAATTTTTCTTGGAATAACAATGGACAGACCTCTCATGGTTGAAGCTGCTTCTCAGTTAAATGTGGAGTAAACTGAGCCTCCGAAAATGATTGGCTTTCTTGATTGTTGATGTTGATGTACAAAAGCAAAATTACAAAAATTGTGTTATCATTCAAATATTAATGGACTAAACTCTTAAATAACTTGCCATAAATTTTTAAGCATGTGTTTATGAGTTCATACCCCTCACTGGAGTCTGGGTCAGTGACGTTCCGCATTTGACTCTGCAGCAACATGGAGCAGATGCTATATTGGCTCTCCAACAGCAGAAAGGAGTCCAGATTACAGCAGAGCACGTTAAGTAGTCTGCAGCAACACACACAAACAAAAACAGAGACATCAAAATACAGAGAGGCCTGGCAGTCTGAGATATTGTAGCAGAACAGCAGCACAGAGAAAAACGAGCTGTAATTTCTACCACACTATACAGCAGGGTAAAATCGTGCAGGCAAAGACCCCATTTATTCTTTTTGTTGTCTAATTCCCCCGGCCTTTTATGTCTGCAAGTACTAGGTTGCCCAACATAATTTTTCCCCCATCAGCTTGCTGTAGCCAATTGTAAGCTTTGTTAAGTAGCAACCCTTAGGAAAGGTTTCATGGTTGATTTTCAGTTGCTGGTAATGAAGCCAGACTCATACAGGCTGCTCAAAGGAGCTTTTTGAGAAAGTAAAGAAGCAGAAGCCAATGAAAACTCTGTGTTTGAGGCCAAGGTTCATGACCAGTAGAGAAAATAAGAAAAAAACAATACCAATACCAAATTTCACTCCCTCACCACTTTATCCCTTCAGTACCAAAGCTGATTTTGCATTATACTGGATTTAAGAGCATATTAGAGTTTTCCCATATGTACATCAAGGATACGCACCAATAATCATAACAATCTAGTTAATGTTTACTGTAATTCTGCCAAAATTGGTCCCTCATATTAAATTTCCCGCTAATTGTTTTTTTCAAAATGAGATTTTCCATGCTTTATACCTGAGTAGTGAACTGAAATGCTTAAGCATACTGGCACAACTGAGAGGACTACACTACAAAGAGACTTCACAAGATAGCAAGGTATAACAGGCAGAAAGCCAGAGGATGCCAAAAACCGTAACACGGTATAATGAGGTGAAGTGCCAGAGAGGATGCCGTTTTCACTGCCAACAGTGGGTGCCCTTTAAGATCTTAATCATATATAAAATAACAAGGTCTCCGACCTTCATTTTGATGTTTTCTGCAGCAATTTAGGATATGCAAGAAAAGAAAAGCGATGTCAGTGTGTTTTTATGAAACTGTTTTAATTAGCTAATAATCCCAGTCTGCACTGCAGAATTTCTTCTTCAGTGCTAGAGCTTTTAGTGAACCAGGTTTATAAAATAAGCCATTAAAAAACACTAAATTACAGAAATGTCAAAATTATTTTCAAACATTTAAAAAGGACTTTTAAAATTGTCTGGCTCTCACTTTTCACAAAATGTCATTTCAATTTTGAAAATGCATTTGTGTGTTTATGTGCTCAGAGACGACAGGTATCTGTGGACATTACTCGACATATTGAGTCTTGAGTCTCTTGAGTGTTGTAGAACTTGTGAGAAACGCCACCTTTTTAGCAGCTGGACAGTTTCTTGGACTCCTGTGTGACTGACAGCTCTACTCACTCTTTCAGACAACAGCACAGCAAGAGGCTGAGAGTCTACTGGGCCTTGTGACCTCGTCTCAGTTTGAAACAAGTAAATGGAGGACAAAACCTACTTTCAGTTTGTCTACTTGATATTCCACTTTGAAGTGTGTTGAAGACCAGGTGTCGCATTAGTCTTTTTAACTGCATGCTTCTGGATGAATAACATCAGTTTACTATCACAGAAAGCAATCCAAGGCACTATTTATATAGTAGTTTTTTTCAGCGGTTGCTAAATATTTTCTAATAAATCATTTATAAACTGTCTTCGACAGCAGCTAAATTTAATGCTACAAAATGTATTTTTTACTTATTTAATCTTTATTTAATCAGGAAAACATGACTCTTGACATTTCGGTCTCTTTTGTCCCGGCCAAGCTAGGCAGCAGGCCAATCAGCAGTGGTTACACAACAGTTATACAAACAATATCCACACAGTGAAAAACATGTGAAATAGAGAAACATCAGAGACTATCAACTTAAAAGTGCCTCCAGGTCATTCAAATTTATCTTAAATTCATTAAGGGAGACCGTCTCATGAAGATTTTGTGTTTCCGCAAAATAAATATATCTAGTTACTTCATCCCTACCATCTGCAGTGTAGATACTTCACAGGAACCATAACCTTAAAGTAGAGCCTGTACACATATAATTAGCCAATGACAAGGCAGCAAATCATTGCATTTAGGCATGTAGATAGAAGAAGTTTAAACTGTTTACATTTGCATTATGGATGAGCAGAAACTGCATGATGCTATCATGTCAATATGGACCAAACCCTTAGGAATGTTTCCATCACCTTGCTGAATCTATGCCATGAACAATTAAGGCAGTTCTAAAGGAAAGTGAGTAAAGCGAGTGAACTTAAGGATGCACAAAAGAAAAAGTTAACTACATCAATTCTAAACTTTAAAACTAAGGAAACACAAGGCATAACAAAGCCCTTGCCAGCCATTTATAATGACAGTGCATTTATGTTGTGTTAGTTAATCGTAACATGTGGTCAGCTTCTTACTTATTCCCTAGGGGTTGCCACAGCAGGTAGCTCTGCATGTTTGATTTGGATGATTTTTCCTGACACAACCCCAAAGGGACTGCTGCCTCCTCCCAGGATCAAACCGGGAATCTTTCACTTGTCAGGTGAACCTGCAAACCACTATATGGAGGTCGCTATGACATTACTGAACAGTTTAAATGGCACGTGCCACAATTAAAGCAGCATAGTTAACTTCACAGGAACCCAAACCATGTAATTAGGACAGAAATGTATAAATGGCTATTTAGTGGCACAAAGTGAAGCAGTGGGACAGCACTAGTAATTTGGTGTTAATTGCAATTTGCAATTAAAAGAAAAAAGATCAGGAGAGTAAGCTAATGGCCACACTCAAAATGTGATTATTCCACATTATTTCAGACTTGTTATGCCCCTTTTTGAAGCGAGACATCTGTTCACTTCAAACGCTGCAATTCATCTCACCTCACGCCTCAGTCTTATTGTCATTGATGGTGACCACGTCTGCGGCACACTTCATTTAATGTTGAAAGACATGCGAGCGGTAAAAACACCCACTTGTGACAGATGATTGCTTACTTGATGATGTGCCCACACACCTACATGCATCACAAGACTTATGTATAAACCAATTACAGCAAGCCAGGAGTAATCTGCCTGACAGCATGACTGATGAGCGTCCTACGGATCGATTAGTCATGCATTAGGTAAGATGCAAATGGTCAACTTTATGGGTGTGCTATTTGGGAGACTTCTGTCATTTGAAGTCAGAGGGAGAAATCAAACAATCTAAGACATCAATATTTATATGCTGCTGCCAAATGAAATGTTAAACGAATTCATACATTTTCAATCAAAAGAATCAGCAAACAAAGAAAATCTCCTGAGATGTGGCCAGCAAGACTTAGAGACTGGTGTAGACCAACAACTAGCTCGTCCCAGAAACAAAGTTTTCCACTTCTGCGCGCATACAGTGAAAAGTTGGGAGAAAATTAGTATCTAACCCATTCTCCACAAGTCAAAACACGTGTTAATGAGCTGCATATATTAGAGCTGCACTCTGAAAGCCCCACAGACTGAACACCTGCAAATATCAGTTAGCAGCTTCATTTGGCCCTTAGCACCGCAAATGAGTCACAGTAACAACATGACATAAGCTGCTAATCCATCATTAAAACAAAACAAAGCAATCTCTACTGCATTTTCCACCTTAGGACTCTTTTTATGCCAACTGTACAAAAACAATTAAATGTCTTATTCCTTTATGTTCTTAAACTCTGGTAAGAACACTCTAAAAGGTTTTCCTTTGGATTTATCCATAGACTGTACATGAAATAATATGGCTATAGAACTCCATCCTTGTATCCTTGAGGTCAATGGAGAAGTCACATGAGTTGCTAACGTGGTGGTCTTTTTAAAAAGAACCACAAGTGAAAAATATCACTTCATTAACAAGGCTAAAATCTTAAAGTATAAGGGAGTACATAACCTTAAAAGTGAAATGAAAGGTTTGATAAATTGAGATTAGTCTCTCATCCTGTCCACTCTTATTTTAATTCATGCTGAAGAGACCATCCAGTATAACTCCTGACTCTGTGAAGGCTAATTAAAGAAAATCTTAAAGGCTAAAAAGCAGCATGTTTAACTAATGCAAACTGAGCTATAGTGATCCACCAATTCACTTTGATCATTTTAATGGGGAAGTACATAGTAATATATGATAGTATGTATAGTAATAGAGCTCATAATGTTGGTTTAGAGAGCATTTTGAGTTTAACATTACCTGAATATTCAAAACACATCAGCAGGTTATGGCAAGAAATGGAAAACGTGACATTTGTATAATCTGTGTCACTTGTGGGCCATGTTGATGATATTATTTCATGAACGATCTGATTGTGTGTTGCTATTAATTGTGAGACAGGTTTCCTTTCATTCCTTTCTGCTAAAGGTGGTGATAACAGGAAGCACTCAACCAGCCTTCCTTAGGAATGAACCAGTTCTTATTGCAGCTTCCAAACAGATAATTTTGGGTCATTTATCTCAGTTAGCGATTCTTTTCGTGGGTTCCTGTTTGATAGCAACCCAGATGTCGCAAGCAATGCAAGGTAGCCCACCCTAAGAGACACGTGATGTTGGATGGAATTATAATTTACAAAATCAAGATCAGCTTGGATTTAATAGGAAACTACAAAAACAAACTAGTGATTGACACTGTTTTTAGTCAGTAGGAGTCGCCCTCTGCAGGCCAATAGAAAGAAAGCAAGTTTTAGCACTAACTGGAAGTTGCAAAAACAACTGTGTTTATATAGCAGTCCACAGGAAAATGCCCCATGCTCACTGAGTCTGTGAACTCAGTAAGCAGGTTCCTTATTAGTTTATAGGGTCAACTGATGAGAAAATAATTATTTTAGTCAGTGTGATTGTTTTTAATGTCGCTCTTAATTGATTGTTTTTTGTATATTTTTAACATGTTTGTACGGGATATTGTATTTGTTTAATTGTTATGTACTTATGTGGTACATGTATTTTAGACTTTTGCTGCCATGACGCCAGGTCTCTCTTGGAAATGAGATTTTTAATCTCAATGAGATTTTTTAACTAAATCAATAAACTACTAATAATAAATTT